GAGGGGGTGAAGGGGGGGAGAGGGGAAGAAGAGGGAGGAAGAAAGGAGAATGGAAGAAAACAGGAACAGATTGAAAGAGAAAGAGAGCGAGAGAGAGAGAGAGAGAGAGAGATGAGAGAGAGAGAGAGAGAGAGAGAGAGAGAGAGAGAGAGAGAGAGAGGAAGGGGAGATGAATAATAATTATGATGATAATAATAATAATAATAATAATAATAATAATTACAAAAAATAGAATATATTTTTAAGAAAGGTAAAAAGTAAGAGAGATTTCGTGCCCTCCATCGTAGCGTAGGGATTTCCTACTTGAAAAAAATAAGAAAGATGATACTAATAAAATAAAAAAAAGAAAAAGAAAGTTCCTTAATATACCACAAAGGCATCACTTTTCGTCCATTTCCCGTCCGGTTCAGAATCAGCCTTCCATCTGAATTAATCGATCATGTTTAAGCATTAATTAGTCCAGGCAATTTCCGTTATTGTTATTATCATTTAAAATCCTATTCTCCGGCATCATTATGAATGTCATTATTTTGCTCCGAGTTTCAATGTGTGTTATACGCCTCGTTAATTTTTTGTTTTGTTTTGTTTCTCCTTTCTTTCTGTCTTTCGTTTCTTTTTGTGACGTAATCTTCACTTCACTAATCTACACATTATATCTGTGTCTGGCTATCTGTGTAACGGTCCATGAGTGTGTGTTAGTTTTTCTTTTTATCTTTATGCACACACACACACACACACACACACACACACACACACACACACACACACACACACACACACACACACACACACACACACATGTATGTATGTATGTATATCAATCTATCTATATATCTTTATATAAGTGTGTGTATTGCTTTCTTGCAACAAGCCCTTCTGCAAACGAACCGCCTCGCAACACGCCCTTTTCCAACAAGCGGTCTTGCAACAGACCTCCTTTGCAACGAAGCCCTCTTTTTGCAACGCGCCCCGCCGGTTCCAGCCCGCACATAGTTGCAGTGGGCGTGAACCGTTCCGCAAATTGATGGCTGCTTCAGAAACACCGATGGACGTTATTAACAGCTGTTTTGGCCGCGCAGCTTTTTGCGAAGGGGGGGAGGGGGAGGGGGGAAGGGGAAGGGAGGAGAGGGAGAGAGGTAAGGGGAGGGAGGGGGAGGAGAGGGAGGAGAGGGGGAGGGATGGGAAGGGGGGGAGTGAGGGAGGAAAGGGAGGGTGGGAGGGAGGAGAGGGAGGAGATGGAGAGAGGGAGAAGGGAGAGAGGCAGGGAGGGTGGGAAGGAAAATTGGGTGGTGGGAACGGAGAATGGAGGGAGGAGGGAGGGAGGGAGGGAGGGAGGGAAGAGAGAGGAACGGAGGGGTCATGGGGGAGGGGAGGGAAGGAGGGAGGATGGGAATTGTAGGATGGAAGGGAGGGACGGGGGGGGGGGGGGCAAGAGGAAGGGAGGGGGGAGAGTTGCAGGTGCAACCTTTCAACCTTTGTTTGGCGAAAAAATAATGAAATAACTATCGCATCACACGGCTGCTCCGAGGACTGAGCCAACGGGGCTACAGAGGCCGCCCTGGCACTCCGCAGTGCCACGGCCGGCCTTTTCCTTTTCCATATATATATATATATATATATATATATATATATATATATATATATATATATATATATATATATATTTTTTTTTTTTTTTTTTTTTTTTTTTTTTTTTTTTTTGTATGTATGGATATATGTACACACACACACACACACACACACACACACACACACACACACACACACACTCACACACACACACACACACACACACACACACACACACACACACACACACACACACACACACACACACATATATATATATATATATATATATATATATATATATATATATATATATATATTTATTTATATATATGTGTGTGTGTGTGTGTGTGTGTGTGTGTGTGTGTATAATATATATATATATATATATATATATATATATATATATATATATATATATATAGAGAGAGAGAGAGAGAGAGAGAGAGAGAGAGAGAGAGAGAGAGAGAGAGAGAGAGAGAGAGAGAGAGAGAGAGATACATACATACATACATACACACATATATATGTATATATCCACATGTCATAGCAAGGTAGATAAAACAAATAAATGAAAGACACAAGAGTGAGACAAATGAGCATAAGAAAGAAGTATTGCGCATAAAGGAATACTGTTAAAAGAAGAAGAAAGAGAGACAGCTTATTCTTCGGAAATAAAAAGAGGAACAGGGAAGAATAAAGAAAAAGAGAGAGAGAGAGAGAGAGGGAGAGAGAAAATTAGTTGTCAGTTACCACATTTATAAATCATAATCTTATGCGACTATCTTTCTTTCTCTATCTATCTATCTATCTATCTATCTCTTTCTCTCTCTCTCTCTATCTATCTATCTATTCTCTCTCTCTCTCTCTCTCTCTCTCTCTCTCTCTCTCTCTCTCTCTCTCTCTCTCTCTCTCTCTCTTTCCTTCTTCATCTCTCTCTCTCTTTCTTTCTCGGCAGATCAGCCGAAGATAGCCGGCATGAGTCAGCAAAATCGGCTGTTTATGAGGTCCCGTGCAAAAGGGACGCGTTTCGACCTTTAATGGATGTTCGTTTTTTTTTTTTTTTTTTTTTTTTTTTTTTTTTTTTTTTTTGTAAATGGCTAAAACAAAAAAGTAAATAAGATAAATAAATAGACCGATAAAAATAATGCTGATAACAGTATAATTATCTTTCAAAAAATCAAGATATAAATAAAAAAAAAAAAAACGACAATAAATGAATGATCAAAGCAAGATAAAAGCAAAGAAAAGCTGTTTGTTGTGAGGGAAGCGACTCACACCTGCCTCATGAAACGTCGCGGCGCCAGGTGTATGGCAGGGAGGGAGGGTGCATGACTCCGCGAAATGAGAGAGAGAGAGAGGAAGGGAGAGAAGAGAGAGGGGAAGGAGAAAAGAAAGAGACAGAGAAGTGGGGGAGCGAAAGAAGAGAGAGGGAGAGAAAGGGGGAAAGGGAGAGAAGAGGGAGGAAGAGAGGGGAAGGAGAAAAGAGAGAGAGAGAGAAATGGGGGAGGGAGAGAAGAGAGAGAGAGGGAGAGAAGAGGGGAAAGGGAGAGAAGAAAGAGGGAGAGAGGGGAATTTGGGGGAGAGAGAGAGAGAGAGAGAGAGAGAGAGAGAGAGAGAGAGAGAGAGAGCATGGGAAAATGATAGCGAGAGAAGAGAGAGAGGACTGTATAATATTTTAAGAGAGCTCTCTCTCTATCTCTCTATTTGCCTCTCTCTCTGTCTGTCTATCTCTGCCCTCCTCTCCTCTCTCTCCTCTCCCTCCTGCGCTTTCCTTCCCTCCTTCATTCTCGTTCCTCCTAAATCAACAACAGCATCACCCTGTAGTGGGCCTTGGAAATGGCCAAGTAATCAATGTCTCCAGTTAATCACTTGAAATGTATTACTGGTCTTGTCTTTGACATGATTAGTGATGTAAAAGGTTTTTTACCAGTCAGATGATATTTTAATATTGTGATAATAGAACAGCCCTTCAGGCATGTATGTAACACTGTTTGACCAATGGCCCTCTACACAAATAGAAGCACAGCCAGTTTGGATAGATGCTTTGGTATCTTACCCTGGCTTTTTGCAGGGCATGTACACTGTTCTGTAAATAAATGTTATCAAATCAAATCAAATCAAATCTCTCTCTCTCTCTCTCTCTTCTTCTTCTTTTTCTTCTTCTTCTGCCTCTTTTCTCTCTCGTTCTCTCAGACTCTCTCTCTCTCTCTCTCTCTCTCTCTCTCTCTCTCTCTCTCTCTCTCTCTCTCTCTTTCTCTCTCTCTCTTCTTCTTCTTCTTCTTCTGCCTCTTTTCTCTCTCGTTCTCTCAGACTCTCTCTCTCTCTCTCTCTCTCTCTCTCTCTCTCTCTCTCTCTCTCTCTCTCTCTCTCTCTCTCTCTCTTTCTCTCTCTCTCTTCTTCTTCTTCTTCTTCTGCCTCTTTTCTCTCTCGTTCTCTCAGACTCTCTCTCTCTCTCTCTCTCTCTTCTCTCTCTCTCTCTCTCTCTCTCTCTCTCTCTCTCTCTCTCTCTCTCTCTCTCTCTCTCTCTCTCTCCTTCCTTATTTTCTATTTTTTCCTGTTCCTCTTTTTTATTTCCGAAGAACAACTTGTTCGATAAAGCAATCTCGGTCCATAAGACGGCTGGACGACCCCGCTCCTCGGCTCCAGCTGGCGAATGGCTCTCTCTCTCTCTCTCTCTCTCTGTCTCTCTCTCTCTCTCTCTCTCTCTCTCTCTCTCTCTCCAGCTGGCGAATGGCGGCGGCGAGACTATTCTTTTTTTTTTTTTGGGGGGGGGGGCTTTGTCTATTTTGTTGTTGATTCTGTTTATGTTGTTATTGTTTTTATTCTTACCTGTGTTGTTGTTGTTTTGTTTGTTTGTTTGTTTTTGTTTCTTGTCAGTATTATTCTTTATACTTTGTTGCTGTTTATTTTTTTCCCTTCAGAGTTTTTTTCTATTATCAATATTGTTATAGTTATTTTTGTGTTTTGTTATTGTTCTTATCTCTGAAGCTTTTTTCTTCGTTTCCTATGTTTTTGCTATTTTTTTTTCTAATAATGGTGTCTTTTATTCTTCTATTTTATTTTTTCATTTTTAAACATATGTATACTTTTTTCTAATAATGGCGCCGTCTATGCTTTTGTTTTATTTTTTTTATATTTCTTATATCTTTATTGTTAATATATGTTAGATAACTAACATTTTGATCATTGTTAGAATATAGATTGATTAATAAATTCTTATATATTATTATTATTATTATTATTATCATTATTATTATTGTTATTAGTAGTAGTAGAAGTAGTAATAGTATTTTTATTATTATTATCATCATCATCATCATTATCTATATCATTATTATCATTATCCTTATTATCATTGTCATTATTATCACTATCCTTATTATTAATATAATTTTTATTATTATCCCTTTCTCTCTCTTCCCTTCCAG